GGGAGTTGACGACAAAATGAGCTTTTGATCCAATGCATACACCTGTGTCACACTGCAAAAGGTAGTAGCATGAGGTTTAATCACGGTTTCGACAAGTATCAATATCCCAGACACAACCAAGTATAATAATGCAGAATTGAAAAGAGCCATAAAGCAGGAAAGTAAATTCAGAATAACAACCATCAAAATGAACAAGACCAAAATGGAACGAAATCATTTTCATCAAGCATACAATCAAAGAATCGAAAGCATTGAACGTTTCCTAAATCAACAATAAGTCTCACATCAAATCAAATCTAACATGATCAGTTTAAAAATGAAGGTCATTAAATCATGCAAGGCAAACTTCAAATTACAACCAATATGGTCAGACAATTTCAAATCGAAAGAGGAAGGAAATTCATTTCCAATTAACATCTGTTGTCTCAAGACGGCCTATAAAAGAGGGGTTTTGAGATGAAGAAGGGACGACATTCAATATACACAAAAATCCACCAATTCATAACAATTCAGTATTCACAAAACCCATTACAAAATCCCTAATTCCAAAACCCTAGAAATCGGAAAAGAGGATACTTAGCTCTTTCGCGGTCCCTTCTCCTTAGAGCGCCATCGTAAATCCATGGCCGCCGCGATAAGCCTCCGTCCGCTTCAAGATCCTCGCGCGTCCGTGCTCCAACAATCACCGGAAACCACCGTCTCCATCGAACCTGTGAAGAAAACCAGTGAAACCGTAAGTGCCCCATGCTAACATTGATAAACTACTGATTTTTTGTCTATTTATGTAGGAGAAGAACGAGATTGAAGCAAGGAAGAACGAAAAAAAAACGCAAGAGAGAAGACGAAGAAGCCAGACGGGGGGGGGGGGGGGGGGATCAAAATTGGGGATTAGGATTTGTTTTTTGTTTTATGTTGTATTGCAATCACATGTGCACACACACACGATGTTACCATGCACCCTACACCCACGGTCTTCTGATCTCCAACGGATCAGATCAGGCGATCCATATCACGCGTGCCCACCGTAACTCGTACACCCTGCACACATAGGATCCATCCGCCTTCTAATCTTTTTTTATTATCCTTTAATCTATTTTTAATAAACACTAATCCACCCTTTAATTAACCTTTTTTTATTCAAATAATCATTTTTCTTAATTATTTAATTAATAATTTTTCTGAAAACATAAAATCTGTTTTTATTCTAATTTGTCTATTTTAACCTCTTAGTAATCCCTTAATTAATCCCTTTTTTATAATAAAATTATTCATAACTTTTTTTATAATAATAAAACCTTTTTTCAATCTAAAATCAACCTCTAGCTTTTATAATAATTAAGAACTCCTTTTTAAATAACTTTTACATAATAAAAAGCCATTTCATAATTAATTAAACCAACTATTTTATTTTATTAAAAAAGTTCACTTCATGATCTATTTATTTTTATCAATAAAAATAGTCTTTTATAATAACTTTAATAAACCTTTATAACAAGAAAACCATTTTTATAATTTAAATAACATTTGGTAATAATAATAATTGAACCCTTCTTTCAAAGCCATTCCCTTAAGTGACTTAAAACCAAATCTCATCAAATAATATATTCTCTCAACCCGCCTAAATTAATCAAGCTCTCCCTTAAGTCTCCCTTTTCTCATAAATCAATCTCCCTAACTCAATAAATCGACATCAATCGTGCACGCTTTCGTATCCGCACATTCACATTATTCACAATTCACACATTCGTACACTTCAGCGCTTTCATGCGTGTGTATGCCTTTATTTATCTGCCTCTATTTTACCCGCAATTTACATTTACCGTATTTACTTTACTGTATTGCATGCGTCCAAAGAAAGAATTTGCGCATAACTTAAACAAGTGTGCGTATGTATTACATTTGCATCATATTCCCCCATGATCCTTGATCCCATTCAAGTTGATCTTTTAAGATAGATCTTATCCCATAGGAAGGACCTTTATCTTTTACAACTTAGATACAATCAAATCAACTCAATTCAAAATATTCAAACACATTAGAGAATAAAATGTTAGTCATCTTAAGCGAGATAAAACTTCTACCCCATAACAATACAATCAATTTTCCTACAAAGTTGTGTTGGTTAAATCAAGTAATCTCCCTTAAAATGACAACTCATATTTTCCCCTAGAAACAATAAATCAACTACCTTTATCCCGTAGGAACTTTGACCACCATCAAAGAACTCCTCAAACCCTTTAGGGGAACTACAGATACTCTGATTCCACTCCCGTAAGGATATGTAGGCATAAGATGCGATATCTTATCGAGTATACTTAGAAATAAACCCCTAGGTATTTCATCCTTTAAGCAGATAACCCTTAGCAATAAACAACATTAAAACAAGAGGTTCTTGTAGAGTACTACAGAAACTTAGGATGCTAGCACCTTCCCTAAGTTTAACCAACTCCGGAACCTATAACTCTCTAGCATGCATTTGCATTGTGGGTATTTCGATCTTTTTCCCTTCCTTTGGACAAATCAAAGTTAGGTTGCAAATGAATAAGATTCAAGCTCATAAATAGCTTGGTATCCAAATTTCACCGCGACACACTGGATCTTTAAATGTTGGCATTGTATTATGCAAACTTGCCATCATTGAAGTTGGCATGCCATAGGGTGGTTCGCGACCGGTTAGAGGCATCGAAAATCCAAACACATAAGGTCTAAACAAATTAATCCCCACTAGAGGGGGTCATTGGTGGACCTTATGTCCCTACATAACACAAAATGGGTCCACTTTGGGCAATCGACTACACAGGCATCGTAGTTATTGTGGATGGTACCAGTTCAGATACAAACGCTTTAACCGTAGTTCCCCCTGTCGATGATGAACGGGGTGGTTATGCATTATTATTTTATGGATTTTGATTATTTGGTGAATTTTGATTCACCATCCTCTTTACGTATCTTCTCCTTGGTCTTTCCTCGTTGATTGTGGCTATTTTATCACTCCTTAGTCTCATACAACGAAGTTAGAGAGATAGTAAAATGAAGAACTTATACAAAAAATTTCAAAAAGAGAAATATTTAAAAAATAGCATTGTCCCACTAGGTGTGCCAATTTGTTTACTGTGAAAATTGGTAAACAATCGTTGGTCTCCAAAATTGGTTTACTTTACAAGATCAACCACTGAATCCTAGGACATGTGCTTTTGTTCAAACAATATTTGAAAGTCTATGAACACTTCGAGAATGCCCATGATTGAAGAATGTTGTTTAAAGTTTGAAGTAAATTGCATAATTTGTAAAGGAATTGCAATAAAGAACTTCAAAGTAAATTGTAATGAAAAAGTAATTGATAAATTGTAAGTAACTTTAATTGAAATGAAAATATGGGGATTTAGACGTACATTCTCAACGAAACTGTTTTCTTAACACACTTAGATACTTTGAGTAATTTGTGAGTATTTATATAATAATTGAACACACAGAATCCTACATACTAAGACTCCTATTTATACTACGTCGAAAAAAAACGTTATCAACGGTCTTTTCTCTAGAAAATGACGCGTTTCGCTTGCATGTCTTCAATTCGCCACAACTATACACGCGTCACCTTTAAAAATCGGATAAGGACAAAAGACAGTTATCATCCATATTCAAAATTCAAAAACCTTCGTCGAATGCAACCTCAATTATGCTTTCGTCGAAATTGCAATCCCAAATCAGAAATATTTCTAAGTCTTAACCCAGCGTATCCCTCTTTACAAAGGATCTATTCGACTAAGATCTTCAATGATACTCTTGTCAAATTCCAAAGCAACTTAAAAAAATTTCTTTTGTTTATCATACTCAATCAAACCTTGGCGTTGAAACTTCCCGCTAACAATTTCATCTTGGGAATCACCCAGACTCAAGTGCGTTCAAGTGTAGAGTAAGCTATGTCATGCCACTCCACACCTTTTCAGGTCACACGTCAAGAGAAAAACAACAAAATACTTCAATTATGGGGTTGCATTTAATGCGCGTGTTCTCTATTACTCTTTGGAAAAACCAAAGCAGTACATGTCATCTGACACCTGTGCAACTATTCTCAAAGGCCGACCATGACTACTAAAGACTCCACAAGCATCTAGACTTTCCGAAGAGTCTTGGGGGGAACTATTTTATGTCAACCAAAGACCTAGGACTTAGCGCCCCGCGCTAACCAAAGACCCAATAACACGAGCCCTATTATCTAATCTGCTCCACCAAGCCTAAGATATAAATACTCTCTCAAAGGTTTTTTTTTCCAAGAATACAATTTCTAATCTCTACTTCCATTATGGTTATCAAAACTTAAACTGATTTGGGTGTTGGATTGCTAACCATCCCCCCCTTGAACCACCGTATCGGAGATTAGCAACGCCTATTCAAGATTGACACAGATCAATGACGTTAATTCAAGATCAACGCTTACAGTCCAAGAAGCATCGTGATTACGACCTCCGATTCACGGTATCGCTTCACAAAATCAATTACGAAATTTCGTTTCATTGTAGCTTCCATGATCTCCTTCATTCTTGATTCTACAACGGAACAAGATATATTCGAATTTTACAATCCATAAACCCTTTTAAATGAGATTGTGGTGTATTTAAATAGTAGTATCAAGGAAGAATCCAAATCTCAAAATTTGAATATTTATATAAAAATATTGTGTATTTTAAGCGTGTTCAGATTTTAAAATCCAAAATTTTTAAATATTTTTAAAATTTTACTAGAATGTGTGAGTAACACATATAAGTAAAATATAACATATAAAGCATATAACATACTAAATATTAACATAAAAAAGTATGGGGTTTGGGTTTACTTAGCTATGTTATTTGACATAATACAAATATACAACTATATGTTAGTAAAAGTCGAATGAACAAATCGATTACAAAGTTGCACATAACCATGTTGCAGATAACATTGCTAAATATTTGAATTACATTTGAATTTCTTCTCCAGAATAATTACCAATAAAAAATTCAATTAGTATCAAGCTTGTTGAAAGCATCACACCTATTTCGTACCTCTCCATTCTTCCCCACCTTAACATTCAAAACACTTACCTTTCGCATAGCATGACCAAAATCCTCAAAGAATTTGCTTTCATTTGTCGCATACAATTCCACAAATGATTTTGTCCTCTTGTCCTCAAACATCAAACTATCTGTAGCCAAAAGGCCTAACCCTCTCTTCAAATTCTTAAAATACATGTTGTCAAACTTCTTTGGTGTCATCACGTCGTTGTACGCCGACATTGAAGGATCTTTTTGGTAATTCTGGCAGAGTTTCTTAAGCCCTGCAGCAAATTCTGGTTTATACTTTGGATCAGTTTCAGCGGTTTTGCTGAAGTTGAAGAGCCGGTTGCTAAACTCTTTACAATGAGAGAATCCTATTGTGTGTGCTCCTACTAGAGCCACCATCTCTTGAATTGTAAACCCTTTTGATGTGAAAATGTCTATCACCTAGCACAGTCACGGATTAAGAAATTCTAAGTTATATACCAACATGAATCAAATTATAATGAAGTAATATCATATCTGTCTTAAGTTTTAAAGGCCATGCCCATGTATAAGTTAACCACAATTTAAGTGTAGAAAAATAAATAGAAGTTCTATTCTGTCATAGCTTAATCTTGACAAATATTTTATTACACCAATTTTTAGCAAAAATTTATCCACATTAAATTGTGAATCCTATGCTATAGTCTGTCTTGTACGTTTTTAAAGACTGTCTTGTACGTTCTTAAAGACGATCCTAATTAACATTGTTATGCACAAGTTTCTGAACGTATAAAAATATTTGATAAAAAATCATCAAAATAAAATAGATTTGTTTCTCACCTGATTCATTGTCATGGTTGGTTTTGGATATTTGTTCTCAGCGTCAATTGCTTTGGACACAAGACTATCTTTTCTACCGAAGCCTAACTCGTAGAATGGGCCGCCAGCTAAGACGACAAGGTCACGCGCGGCTGTTGCAATTATGTCAGAGCAAGAGACCATTCCGGGACATTCCAACTCCAACATGTTTTTGGCACGCGTGACCACGTCGAAGCCATCTCCCGAGAGGGAGAGATTGATGTCTGCATCACGCTCTCCCTTGTTGAAGGAATTTGAGGTTATCAAGATGGAGGCGTCACAGCCTCCAATCATGCAGTCGTGAAAGAAGAGACGGAGTGTAGCACCGGCGGTGGAGGGCGTTATTTGCTGCTTTGCAGCCACGGTTTCCTTCACGATGTCTAAGAATCTTGGGCATGTTTTTTGGTAGTAGTTTGGGGTGAGTTTGGATTGGATAAAGGGGAATAAGGCTAGGAAAAATAAATAGAAAATGTGAGATTTGTATTTACAAATCATATTGTAGGAAAATATTAATATTATTAGTTTTCAAATTTGTGTGTCAAAATTGAATCTTTTGAAGAAATACTTATTATTTGTTTGATTAAAGCTTAAGAAGATGAATGAGATTCTTGCACTATGGTTGATGAGATGAGGGAAATTTTGTATTGTGTGAAGGAATGGGAAATTTGGAGAAGATGGCATTGACTTATATGTGGAAGAGAGGATTCAAAGGAGGTGATGGTTAATTATAGAGAGGTTTGTATATTTGATGATTATGCTTTTTTTTTCTTCTTAATTTGGTTGAGGAGAAACTACTCAATCTTGAGGTCCAAATTGAATATAGATTACAGAATGTTTAATGGTTATTAATTGTAACTTTCATATTCAACTAGTATCGGTCATTGCACGGTGTAAATATCCTATTCATCTAGTATCGGTCATTGCACGGTGTAAATATCCTATTTATAAAATAAATAAATAAATGTTGAATTAGTGTTGTATTTTCAACAACTTGCTAATATTACTCACTTATCAACAAAATTTAGGCTTTACTAGGAGATAAAAGTACTAGAATGTCAAACATAATATACAATGATTCATCAAAACAGAATTTCATCGGACTTTTTGACTAAATTGTCATTTCTCTAAAAATAAAGTTCTAAAGTGTTACCTTTTGAAACAAAATTTTTCAAATGTCATGAAATTTGTATTTTTTTTACCATTATTTTATATTTTTCCTACAATCTCGATCCAACATAACGGATGCGTCAGAGATTCATTTGGAATCCGCCATTCGAATAGAGTCTTTTCTTTTTCCTTCGCACTTTAAAATTTAAATTTATTTAATTATTTTTTATTGTATTTTTAATAATTAAATTAATAAAATACTTTTTAATAATATTATATTCAGTAAAATTAATTGTTTTCTATTTTTTTTAAATATTTAATTATTAATTGTTTTTAGAAGTTTAATTATTTTTTCATGAATTAATTAATTGTTATAAAATATTCAATTTTATTAAATATTATTGTTTAATAAATAAATTTTCTTCTAATATATTGTTTTTCCGCCAAATCTATTTTTTAATATTATTTTTTCCTTCCATATGATCTTAATATAAATAGAGGTGCCTAATACACAAGAAAATGTAATTTTTCTGTCTTTGTCTACTTGTTTCATCTATTTCATAATCATGTCTGTGTGGTGTATTATATTTTTTAGAAACAGATAAACACATGAGGGTTTGTTTGAATACACAATGAAAGTTCAAACAATTGGTTTCGATCATCAACGCAAGATTTCGACAGCTGGGTGGTCTAATTTGATGTGTTAGGAAAATTGAATATTATTGTCCATACATAACTCTAACGGATGCTAGCCCAAATGGTACCTAGCTTCATTACTGAGATCGTGTAGAAAATGATGTGGATGTCGTTAGCTCTCATTTTCGACGCAAACAAAATCAGAATTATATCAAGTCAGAATGTTATTTTAAAACATAAGAAGGCTTCGACACAACTTTGATGAAGCCTGAGTCGAAGAGAGGTTGAGAAAATTTCTAGAAAAATTCTAAGTGTTGGAAAAGTCTTCGACCAAGATCCTGCTGGAAGAAACGCGTGGCAGTTACCATTAAGGCTGGAGAGATTCTTAATATTTAAGTTTCAAATTGATAGTGGGCGAACGTGGGAACAGTTGAAGTTGGGAAAAAGCGCCAAAAGGACACGTTGAGAAGCAATAACCGTCATTTAGTAGTTATTTTCCAGCATTATAAATAGGAGTTATTTTTATAGAATAAGGCGTTCATTCGTCTTGTACAAGTTACTCCAAATTACTCAAAGTACCCGCGTGTAGAGAAACGAGTTAGCGAGAATGTACGTGATGCAACACCATCCCCTTTTACTAATGCAATTTACCTATCTTTGCCCTTTGCATGTTATCCTTTAACCTTCATCTTTTATGTTTGAATGCATTTATTTTCATGTCCTGAAGCTTTATTTTCTCATTTACACTTTATGCTATTTAACTTTCTGCACTTTACCTTCACATGCAATTTAACTTTCTGCACTTTACCTTCACCTGCAATTTAACCTTCTGCACTTTCCTTTAAACTTGTTATTTTGAAAGTCTTTTAATTGCTTTCGACATTTACTTTCCTGCACATTTACATTGTTGCCTTTAATTTCAAAGTCAGTTACATTATTGCACTTTTTACATTACTGTCTTTAATTTCAAAGTCATTTACATTATTGTCTTTAGTTTTAAAGTCATTTACATTAATGCTTTTAAATTCAAAGTCATTTACATTGTTGCCTTTACTTTCAAAGTCTTTTACGTTCTTGCCTTTATTTTCAAAGTCTTTTATAGCCTTGCCTTTAACTTTTGACGCATTAAGAATTACGTTCTTTATTTCACACCCTTGTTAATTTCCAAGTTATTTCTGCTTTACAAAACTTTCATAGTCGAACGCAGAGTTCAAACTAGCTCTTTCTTTCAAACTTAGCACATGTCCTAGGATTTAGTATGGTCGATCCTGCAAATTACTCAATTTTACCCATAATTGATAGACAAGCAGTTGTTTACCAAATTTCACAGTAAACAAATTGGCACACCCGGTGGGACCCAATGTTAAAGTATCCCAAAGTTTACATTAAACATATTCATCTTTTGGCAACGAATGCTAGTCAACAAGTTGATCCTCAAGGAAGTGTTTCAAATACTCAGTCAACTAGCATGGGGTCGCAAAGTGTACTGTCTCCAGTGTCTTCGACGGGAGGACAGGCGTCACCGCCAGCAGTTGCGTCTGAACCTATGCTGTCTATGGCAAGCCCAGGGTCAACATGTGTAAGAACGTACACTCAACCGGTGTTGGAATATATAGGACCACAAATTCCTAATTCACCAACACCCCCAGGAGGAAGTTCACTGCATAGGCATTTTCCTCCTCTAGGTTTGTCACAACCATTGCCAAGGAGTTTACCTTATGGTATGCCTACGTCAATGATGCAAAATCTACAGAGCGTTCCATCTATATTTTCAGAAAACATAGTATCTTCGCCAGTGCAAGGATCTGGATCAGGTGGTCGAAACCACCAAAGCATAGGTGTTGGTTACTCTGTGCAAGCACCCAGTCTTACAAATACTTCCTGTCATACCTCAAATTTGTCCTACCTTTGTATAACCTCCATTATGTATATTTACCCAATTGCTCTACTAAAAAAATCCAAAAAAATATGTTATTTTTTACTTGAGGATATTAAGTCAGATGTGTGGATAATGTTGAATGAGGAACGGTTCAAGTCACCTAAGTTGAAGCTAATTTTTGCAGAATTTTCAGTACAGTGCATATTTGAAGGCATTATTTTTGGTATCAAGGCACTATCCCTTTGATCTCAAGGCAATGAGGTTTTGGTTCATAACAATGCGATTTCACTCCGTATTTAATATCAAGTTTGAAGGTGGATTTATTGTTGTATTTCTTTCAATTTTATTCAAGACCAATTTGGAATTATAATTTTTTTGGGTTCATTCAAGTTTTATTAATCTCAAGTGGGAGTTAAGTAGATGGGTCTTGGGTCACATGGTTCAAATTTGGAGCAGAAGTGTGAGGATCATTAATGCAAGAGACAAAATTCATTAACATTAAGATCCAATCCAATTTACATCTTTAGTTTATCACCAAAATTTACAAGAAAATCCTCCGAGTAAATTAGGCGCATTACCCTTTTGTTTAAAGCCTTGTTATCAAAGGAATTGATGATTTAAATCTCACATAAAGAACCACACGGCCTGAATTAGGATGTAATACCACATTATATGATGGTATGCATTCCACTTGAAGTATACAAGGAAGCCATAACTTGCCAATCCAGAATTTCTCTTTTACAAATTAACATAATTGCAAATTAAGAAAATAAAATTACAAAAAGGTTGCAGTCTATAGCCATTACATTCTTCACAGTACCACAATAATAAAGGCCCTACCCACAAGCTTCATGGCATACAAAACGTGATTCACCCCTACCAACTTCCATCTAGAAATTACCTGCATCCAATTTCTAGTAAGATTCAAAACCCCACAAACGCACAAGACAACTTTTTCTCTTTGAATGGAAGGACAAGACCACTGTTAAAAAATCATGATTCACAAAACTTTTACTGCAAAAGGTACAGCTGCATAAGCAAACAAAATAGCAAAAAGGATCCCACTTGTGATGCCCACCAGCCATGACCTGCAGAATAAAATTAAAAAAAACGTCTTGTATTAATTCACAAAAACGTAGCAACATGGCTACAGCCTGCAAAATGCCATCAGCATAAAGGAAAGAGGACCCCACCTCATCATGTCCATATGTGCTGCACAACAATCCAAAATACACACGACAATCTTGCCAAATTTTACTTAGATGCCTCTATACCTCCCATGAGCCATCCACAACGGTCTTCTACGAAATGACAAAAAAAATGGTACAACATAAAATCAGATCGATATAACAACAACTCATCAAAAATTTGCACGAAATCTCACCACAAACAAGAAAAGAGGAAGAATGTGCAACACACCCACGGCAGGTACAACAACGACGTCTCCTTGATGCCTAAATTCAAACCAAAATCATCAGCCATATTGTCACTACTTAGAAAAGGACAGTACCAGCCACCACCTATAGAATAAGACAAGGCAATACGAAAATTTCACAGTGGGCATTTACAAAACGCAGGGAACACATCAAAAAGGGAAGAAAAATCACTCACCTTTCGGATAGAAAAAGGCATCTTCTCCATTCTTGAAGGAGCAGGGAAATACCTCTATTGGGACCCCTTTCAAAAACACCTCAAAGTCTTCAATTTAAGGGGCCTTTCTGGATGATTATGGGGGGAACCTCATTCCAAGGGAGCTCTCGAGATTCCACCATGAACAACCACCAAATCTCCCTCTGTTTCAACTACCCAACAAGATCCCTTCGATTTGAATCTCAAACTTTCTTTTCAACCCACAAAATAATCCATACATAAA